TGGATGCTCCGGTGAGTACTGCATATTTGTATATCCTTATAGCTTCAGTCAAAAGTCCAGACTCCATAAAGTATTTTCTTCATCAGCTTCACTAGAAGAGTCGATCTAGCCATTTCTGTCTGTCGGTCCGTTTGTCTGTCCGTCCGTTTTAAAGCCAACTTGTATTTCGTTTTTAAAGCTACATATCTGGATATAACTTTTCCAAAAGTTTTACGGTTTTAAATTTACAAAAATCAAATCAACATTAATAATTCAAAAAAACATTTTTAGGGGTTTTCTTAATTTTTAGGCTGATCATTATTAGGAATTACTTTCTATATTATAGAAAATATTCCTGAACTTTTAGAAAAAATTAATTAATTAAATTATTTTAATTTTGTAACAACTGAAAGGGTATATAGACTTCGACCAGAAGAAGTTGGCTTTCATTCTTTTTATTAAAGATGTGATTTATCCCTTTTTCAGTATGGTGCCATGCGCAAGGGATTACTGGGAGTGTACAGCGTGGTGCTGGTTCTCTTCGTCGTGGTGCTGATCCTGCTGGTCGTGCTGGCGCCCATCGAACAATTCCTGGGCAAGTCCTAGGCGTCGAGGACGTCGGGATGTCCTGTAACCTGTCCCCCTTCCAATACTCGTATCAGTTTTGTGTGCTCATTGTTTAACCCCTTCCGCCCACGGCTCTGCCCGCCAAACACACCCACCCACCCAAATCCCATCCAGCGTTGTGTTGTTAAGTGTAATTAGGCGCAAGTGTAACCTGGGGCGGAGCGTTCAGTACATGTTATATAATTTATTATTAATAAAATAAAACAAGCCAACATAAATGCAGTTATTTTGTTTCTTTCTGCTCTTTTCCCTCTGCTGCGCTACATGGATATATTTATGTGTGTGGTGCTGGGAGGCGTGCTGCTCGATCGGATTGCGCTGGATCCTATGTTTAGTTTAGTATGTTGTTGTTGTTGTTGTATAAAACCTTTACTTATAACTGGAGCTAGACATTATCATTATCTTTAGATATAGGTAGGTATATATGTATGTTTGTATGTGGTGTGTATGCTTTTGTAAACTTTTTGCTTGCTCCGCTAAATTAAAGTACGTAAATGATATATAACTCTACAATTTTCAAATATTAATGCGATAACTAAACCCAATCGAACGAAACTGCCTTAACGCTAACGAGCGGAATCATCGCGAAATCATCGCTCCTCCAGGATGACCGTTTCCTGTGGATACAGCTTGAGCGTCTCCAGCGTTTGGCTACTCTCGATGGCCGTGAGATCGCGACGTGGCCAGCTGCGGATGAGTTTATACTCCTCGATGAGGAATCCGTTGGCGGTCACAAAGTTGAGCAGATCCTGATGAAGTGGTAACTGATTAACTGGTCATTTAATGGCTATGGCGAAGAACCTACCTGCAGGTTGTTGCTGGTAAAGAAGCGGCGCTCCAGAAAATCGCCCGTGGGTTTGCGCACGCGGATCTTAGACGTGCCCGCCTCCTGCTCGGACGGCTCCTGAGGTAGGGATTGTTGAGCCTGTGGGGGAAGAGTATACACTATCACAAGCTGTTTCTGCCTGGAGAAACCTCCTTAACTTACAACTAATCTAATGGACTCGCGTCTAGCATCTTCCTCGGCTCTTTCGGTCTCCAAGCGTTTGCGCTCGGCCAACTGGGAGGCCTCCTTCTGCCTCTTGGCCGCATCCTTGGCCATGTCGGCCTGCAAGGTCTCCTGGTAGGCCATGTCCTGCTCTGCCTTCACTTGATCACGAGCTGCCCGCTCGTCCTCCTGTCGGATCTCCACCTGCAGTTGCTCCTCGAACATCTCGCAGGTTTCAATGAGCCTCGTAAGCAAGTCATCCAGACCAATGTTGCCTGTTAAGCATTACATTACTTCAAAGAATCTTATATTAGGTGCTGCTAAGGTGGCCATACCATGAATCACAGATAGAACCTCGCAATTGCTGCCCAGCTGGCGGCTCTTCCCCACCAGCATGATGGCTGGCAGCTTGTCCAGCTTGATGTTTCTGGCCGTGAGCGAGGCATTGCTGCTGATGCAGGCCGTCAGCGAGGAGAGAAACCTGTAGATTGCATAACGAGATTGTTAATAAAACACAACCGAAATCATCCCAGTTCCAGCTCACATGTCCTTGTTGCTCTCGTAGGTCATATCCCAGCCATAGAGGACGAATTTCTCTTTGAAAGTTTGGATAATGCTCTCGTGTTTCATTAGTTGATCACAGAAAACGTTGACCACAATACTCTTGCCATGGTGCAAGTAAATGGCCAGCAGCTTGCGCTAAAAGTTAAACACAACTTTTAATAAATTAAGTTAAAATGGGATTGACAAAGGTCTACCTCTTTGGCGGGTCTGAGGCAGGCCAGCTGCCTGGCTGCTTCCAGGCTGCCCACGAAGAACTCCGGGTGCGGATCGCCATACCGCGACTTGTAGTTCTCGACAAACTGCGTGGAGCCACTCGTCTCGTCATCCGTGTTGTTTGGTACTGAAAAGTAGACAACATTTACCTAATTCTTGGCTAATAACTTAGTGAAAGAGCTTACTTAAGTGCCTGTTGAGTGGCTGGGCGGGCGGCGAGTCGGTGAATATGTACTCGGCATTGTTGAAGTCCGTGGCATCCTCGAACTCATCCGCCGAGCTCTCGCTGTCCACGGTGACCACATCGAAAGCGTTGTTGTGCTGATTGGTATTGTTCTGCGCGGCATGTGCTGTACTGCGAACTGCAAACCTGTGCGACAGCTCGATGCCAGATTGCTGCAAAGACCAGAGGGATTAGTCTCTACTTATTAAGAGGAATACCCTTGATTTGACCTACCGCCAGAGTGGTTTCATTGTCACAACCATTGGGCCAGCCGGTCCACTCCTGGTGGCGCACTGGTATGCTCTTGATGTCGTACACGTTCATCTTCAGCTCCTGCATTTTGGTTCGTCCTGGAAAGCTAAGAGTGAGTGGGCTGTCCGACTCGAACTGTATGTGAATGGTGAATGTCTTGTCCACCCGTTGCGTCACTTCATCCCTGCAAGAATGGTTTGAGTATGGGGATGTCTGGGAAACTTTTTGGCACTCTTACTGCTCGGTGTCCATGAAACCATCGTCGGTGAGGTCCACCAGTATAAGTTCGTTCTCCGGGGCGAGATCCAGATTGCAAATGCGAGTGCCCAGCTGCTGGGCATCGCTGGCCTTGGATGGTGGCCACCCGCGAATGGCCTGTCGGCACACTGGCACACTAGTTTCATCGAAGATCTTGCGTTTGAGTTGTTCTGTAAGAGAAGTCTTCAATTTAGGAAATTGCCTTGTCCACAGGACAGAGAAACGCCCACCAATTGTGGCCTCCGAAGGCAAGCGGATCTGGTAGAGCTGCTGGTTGAAGTGGATGTTGAAGGCGATCACGTTCTGGTTGTTGTTCTGGCTGGATGCGGGATCCAGGTTGATGCTGGACGTCAGCTGGGCTAGCAATTGTGACGCTATAGTAGATACGTTTCAAGTCAAGGCACAAAAGCGGCGCAATCACGTTCAACTCACTGGGGAATCTTTGCTGAGGGTTCTGCTGGAGGTTATGGTTCTGGTTTTGCAGGGCGGCGGCAAAGAATCCAGCAGCAGCAGCAGCATTGGAGGTTCCGGGCAGCTCCTCATAGCCAGGCGGACGGAAGCCATTGGTGCTCTCCACGGGGTTCCTGGCCGGCGGCTCTGGCAGCTGCTGGATGGGATTGGCCAAGGGGGCATCCTCGTGCGGCATCACTCGCCTCAGAGCCTCCTGCGAAGGGGAACACAACGCAATTAGAGGACCACGCATGTGCGGAGATCGGGGACTCCGAACTCGGGCAAACAAAGGACTCACCACTAGGTTCCAGTCGGCGGCCTCCAGGTGGGAGAAGGCCTCGCCCACATCGTCAATGCCCGTGATGTTCTGCAGAGGATATATAGTTCGATATTGGAATTATCTGCCAAAGTCTCACCCACACACATCAAAAACGCACACGCATCGCAATGTGCGCAGCGAAATGCGAGAGTTCCCCCTTTTTTGGCCCAAAATGGTGTTACCTGAAAACTAGCCAGGGTCTCTTCCTTGTTCTCCGACATTGTGGAATTCTTTATTCAAACGTTAATCTGCAACTAATCACTTTCTGTTTGGGTTCTCTGTCCTAGCCTGGCTTTTCAGGCCAGTACAAAAAAAATTACACAAAGAAAAAGTGTCAAGTCAGTGTGGCCAGTTGTCATTGGGTGATTTTTGTTACGAAACGCGTCCTCACTTAACGGCACTTTAAATTAATTTGTTTCCTTTTTTTTATTTTTAGTTTTTTATTCTAGACTCTAGAGTGTCTGATAGGAAAATAAAAAAAATTAGACGACACATAGGCCAATGGTAGTCGGATGCAAATATTCAACAGTCTCATGGAACTCTAACAGCTGTTACTTTTAACTCTGTTAACCGTTTGCAGACATGTTAATTCAAACTAAAGGCGGGAAAACGCAAGCGTTTACATTAAATCCTCTTGTTTGAAAACGAAATAGGCCGAGGAGAAGCAATAAAAAAGCATAAATAATATAAATACGCATTAATAAATTAAGTTCTAAGAAATAATTCGTTAGAAGTTGTTGGTAGAAATATTTTCTTACAATTACTGGCTGAAAGGAAATGGATTCAGGCCCATGCATTGTTCTTGTTATCAACTCTTTTAGTCATAGAAAATACTCATTAAAAACAGCTGTAAACCGTTAGAGGCCATGTTAAACTCAAACTGTATGGCGGGAAATCGAGATACTTCTGACTTTTGCAAAGGATACAATTTCACAAGAGGCCCACACAATTCCCACCAAAACTGAAAGCCAATCCTTCAATCTGCAAAATGTATTCAGCTGCAAATTGTGATTAATATGAGAAACTTTATACTTCGCACCCCAGGGACAAAAAAAGAGAGCCGGACTCGCCCCCGCACAGCGGCCAGAATAAATGCGGCTCAATTAATCTTCATGAAGTGGCGAAATCAAAGACGCGCTCCGAAGTGACTTCGAGGTGGCCAAGACGAGAGCTTGGTATAGAAGGCTCCAGGCTGGTAAGCCGACAACATGTTGCTCGTGGGCCTGAAATATGCTTTGCTACTGGCTATTAGTGGCTGTATCCTGCTGAATCCAATCCTTGGTGCTGGGACAGAAAGTGACCAGGAGGTGCCCCACCGCATCTACCGACTCCTCGACGGACTCTCCGGCGAACGGAGGCTGAGTGCCAGCTCCACATTCGCCCTGCTCCTCTCCCAGTTCCTGATTAAACGTGAGCCCAATGAACCGTGCACTCGCGATACGGATGACGGATGTGCGTATTTATTTATGCCCTTGCAGAGAAACTGCGCTACGAAGCTCCCACGCGTTATGAACGGCAGCTCTACTACCATCTGCTGCACAGACTGGAGAACATCCGGACGGGATCCGGGGGATTGGTCCAGGAACCGGGTATCCAGGGGGAAAGTATGTTAACAACACTCGGAACTGTGTATTATTATTTATGCTAATTTTTGTGTAGTCCTTAGCATTGCCTTTCAAAGGAATGTGTTGCTGTTGCCTCCCTCGCTAAAATTGGGGGAACTGAATGCCAATGGGGACTACGAACAGCTGGCCGAAATCTATTCGAAAGTCGTTAACGAGGGGCAGCTCAATAGGACGCAATCGGGTGAGAAGGGGTGAATTATTCTCTTGGATTTGTTGCATTTAATAAGTGCAAAATTAGTAAGTAATATTTGGCAAATCAGATTGAAATATGATTAATATCATGCATAAAAACAATTTAACTGTTTGATTCGTATATAAATATTAAGTGCTTTTAAATAGTAAGTTTCAGAAATGAAGCCTTAAACTTAAAAATGCATATACCATTTAGATATCTGCCTGCGGGACGTTGTGGAGTTGAAGCCCCCGAACTGCAAGCTACTCTCCGGACAGTGTTTGGAGTTACTGACCAGTGATGCCCCGGCATATGGATACCAGAGGACCCACCAGTGAGTCTCTATGTTTTCTAGCAACGCGCCTTCCTAGTTCTATCTCCTCCAAGGGTACTGCTGCTCTATGTGCTGCAGCACCAGGTGTGTGCCCCCCATCTCAGTCCTCCACAGGTGTACGAACTGCTGGCCCGGAGTCAGTGCGACGAGGTGGAACGCGAGCAGAACGCCATCCGGAGCCTGGGGCTGCCAGTCGCCTATCGCGATCTGTATCTGGAGCAAGGTGAGCCGGGGTCAGTGGGTTGCAGAAGGGTATTCTAAGGACCATCCTTGCTGGTATCGCTGACACATATCTCTGCCACATATCTTTGCCACCACAGCCACCATCTGCGGGTTGTTTGGCTACAATGAGTTTGTCAACTGGCGCAACGTAATGGAAATTGGCAGCTGGCTGGCGGGGGATTCGCCGAAGGATAAATTGGCTGATGAAAACGATAGTCAGCACATAAGCGATTTGGCCTTGGTGTTCTTCGTAAATGCACTACTGCTGCTGCATTAGGTCCCCAAACAAACCCCATTATTTTTGCTTCGCTTGATAAGTCAATAAAGTGCCGCTTAATGCTTTTATGGTTGTGTCGATTTCAGCAAGTAGATTAGTTAATACTTTTGTTATTGAAGTGCATCGAGGAGCGAAGGGAAATGGGAGATACTTGGGGTTTAGTGGCGAAACGGAAACAACATTTGTAATGTGACACATTACTTGCGCTTGGCTGCCCGACTGATGGATATGCAGCAGGACGACAACTACGACGACAACACTTTCCATTACAAAATGCTCACACTGAAGTGGAATACTAATATTTGCCCTGACATACTCGAAAACATGGAAGCCGGAGCAGCGAAGCCCGAGGGCCTCCGGAAGGAAAGGGGTCGCCGCCTTGGTTTTGGGCCCTGGCTTATGCGTTCTGGGTTCGGGAGGTCCCCGTCTGGATATTAATGCCTCATTTGCTGAATGTCAAAGGGGATGGCAGTGTAACTAGGGGCGGGAAAATGCACCCACTAAGCCTGCAACAAAGGAATTGCACAAGCAGAAACTTATAGTACTTGACATACAAATTATACTTTGAAAACATATTTGATTTAAAATTGCTTTCAGTTTCTTCCCTTAAACTTAATAAAATCAAATTATGTTTACTCAGGAAAAAAAGTTAGCTTGAAAAATAAATTTAATAAATATTTTTCTCTTTGAAATGTGTGATTTATGACAAAGTACAATTATGTTACAATGAGGACCATGCTTAAGTATCAATAGCTAAATTTGTAGACTAGAAGTAGACTTTTAGCATTTTAGGAAGTATTTTAAACTTTTTTCAAAGCGACAAAAATCAAAATTCTGTAGGAACCACATCTTATATATGTTTTTATTACAATGCTTTCGTTTTATGATTACAATGCTTTCGACTGGTTTCAAAACGTTCTAGAGAGTTATTATATATTTCTGTGAGTGCAGACAGACACAAACACCCATACCCATATGTAGTTCCCTTTGTCGGGGGTCATGAAAAGCGTTGGGTCATTAGTAACGTTGACTTGTCGATGCAGCAACAACGCCGACAACAAACAGCAACAACGACAGCAATGCCGCAGACTTTCCAAGTCTCGGTTACCATCGTGGGGTGAGGATAGGGATAAGGGGATGTAGATTGGGTCCTGGACATGCCTGCATCCCCTCCAATACGTTCCTTTTTTATCATTTCTTTCGGTAGGCAAACATCAACCCCGTCAATAACCCTTGCAACCTGATCAGCTGACTTACTGGCCACTGGACAAACACCCCCTTCCCACAAATACACCCCCCACCCACCACAAGGCGTCTCGTGTTGTTTTTGTCCACGCGTGTCCTCGAGTTCATTATGGGCTTATGTCCCTTAAAGTGTTGCTGGCTCTCCGGAGGTGTTTATTGTCCTGTTAACTGTTAGCTGGCAGCGGCAACAACTAGCTGTTGTTTAACATTAAGTCTCTCTCGCCACACATCCATCACCGTTAACGTATCGCCTGTCTGTTGTTGTAATGCGAGCCCGAAATGTTTGGCCGCTGCTCTCTCTTCTGCGACGCATGCGTGTGTGCGAGAGCGCCTGAGAGAGCCCCCACCAGGCTAGACTTTTGGACGTGATAGAAAGGAAGAGAGGGAGCTCTTTAGAGTTGCCATGTAGGCCGCTTTAAAGTAGGGGGTTTTTAATCTTATTTAATTTGTTGAAAAACGATCCCTTAATTATTTAGGTACACTACAGGTCCCCATAAACACTTAATTTAATTTACTGAAAAGTTTATTTATTTATAAAATTTATATAATGGTCAATAAAGACTGGCACAACAACATTTCACAGACACTTTAACTTTGTCAGGATATTAACATCGTAGTTGTTGACCAACTGTTACGATTGTTTAAGACTGCTATACAGCTCAATCGAAAAATATTTACCAATATGGTCTTTTGAATCAATAAGACTTGGCAACCCTATTTTCCGAGCTAACGGTGCGAATTGAATTGGCGCCTCTTTACATGGCCGGATAATCGGCCAACGGATATTACAACAACGCCACGGACTAAGGACTCTCCGAGTCCGAACTGTCAGCCGAGGGTTTGTTTTTTTCCTGCGACTGCCTGGCGCTCTCTATCTTTTTCGGTCTCTCTCACATTCCCTGCCAAGTGGCATTTCCATTCCGTTTCGAAACTCATTCGCTCAGAAGTCTCCCGTCAATTAGAGTGTAAAAACGTTACGCTCCCCGAAAAACAAACGGAATCGGTCGAACGCCAGAAATCATCCGGATCCGCCGTCATCAGACATCCGCTCGCAGGATACAACCAAAATAATACATATACACACAGCCGTACAACAAATGCGATAAAGTAATACTACCAGGCGACTGGCCAAAACGTGCAAATCCCCCGTATTTGTAGATTTTCGAGTGCTCCGGATTGAAAATTCGCAAGTGCAATGTGAAAGTCAGCTTATACGACAGCTGAATGTGTCAGTGTGTGTGAGCTACCCCTCCCCTCCCCCCAGAGGAAGTGAGAGTGTGTGTGGGTGTGCAGGAGTGTGTAAATGTAAATACCACGAAAATCGCTGAACGCCGAAAAATAAAGCACAAGGAGGAGAAATCAGAAATCAGCGAGGACGAAGCAGAGCAACGGTACTTGGCCAGAGGCAGACCAAGAAGAAGAGGAAGAAGGACAAGAGCAGGAGCAACAGCAACAGCAAGCGTAAGGATTCGTCAGGATGTGTGTGTGTGTAGTTTAAGGAGACGGAAAAATGCGAAATGAAATAATGGAAATTTATGTGGCCTGCACATTTCAATTGGCCACTCCACTGCCTTTCCACACATACAAACACCCATATCCAAAACTCACACACGCGAGTCCCTCATCCATACACCATACGCCACTTTTATTTATTGCGATTTTTGGGTCAAACTAAAGTTGCAATGATGATGTTGATAATTACCAGTTCGTTCACATCGCCAGCAGTTCAAAAGTCTTTGGGGGAGTTCCCCTTTTCCGCCCACACGCACACAGAAGCACTCACGTAAAATCACCCACTCACAAACATACACACACACACACAGGGGCCCCCTCGAGCTGTATATGTATATGTGTATGAGTGTGTGCTTTTGTTTTAGTCCTTGGGTCCTTGCTGGGAAATTACTTTGTTGTTGTTGCCTTTGTTGGCATTATCGTTGTTGTTGTTGTTGTTGTTATTGTTGTTGCTGTCGTTGTGGCAAGGAACGCGGTCTTTGACAGCTTTCAAGTAAAACGCGCACCTGCGAATTCGCCATAAATTAGGCCCGCGTCCCGCATGTAGGAGGATATATATATTTAGTGCGACGTTAGGGCCGATTTCTAAGCACTCAAAGCGTAGGCAGGATAAGCCGCTAGAAAAACGCGCCAAACCTAAAGGCTATTACAGTGGAGACCAGGAATAAAATTCCTCCTACGACCCTATAACAATGAACAATGAAGTTTTCGATTAAATTAAAAAGCACCTTAAAGTATTTATTTATGTCAAATGCATTGCAAACTGAGAATGACAATTCATTTTAACGTCAATGCTTTTCTGAATTCAAGAGCATTTCATTTGTAAATTATGCTCTTTTCGACATACAACTATATTAATTTTATATTCCTATGTTTTTTTTTAGAATCTTACAAAAAGAGCCAATCTACTTACCACAATTGTAGTTCGCTTCATATTTTTAACTCATCTTTTTTATTCCTTTAATACGGAAAGCTAGAAAGCACAGTTTAGTATTTCAATGAAAGCTGAACAAAATATAAACTCTCGAATCCTTGGTAATTGAATACTTGAATTTAATTAAAACGGATGCAGGTAGAAGTTCAAAGGATGTCAATTGGGTTTTATCTGTTGCTGACCACTGAAATTTTTATTTAATTGGATCAATATTAACAGAATTGAAAACAAATATATCTCATCCTATTAATGTGGGCATTTATTTATGTTGTTACCTTGGACCATTGTAAAAGGTTTTAGATTTTAATCTGTGAACTATGAACAAGCTACGTTGTTGTTATAAGAGTTCGTGTTTTTAATTATGTATTCTTTTATGAAAAAGCCTTGTGTGAAAGGTTGTGTTTATCAGATTTCGTGCTTAAATGAAATTACAAAGTAATTTACTTTTTCTTTCTTAAAACGTGTCGTAAGCCTAAGGCTTCCCCCAAAACCACTTTAATGGGCTGGAATAGCGGCCAAGATTAGCCCAATTAACGTATCTCCACTGTGGTCTGTCGGTTGTCTCCTGCCTGTCATTTTGGCCGGTTTGGGGGAGCAGAAGTCTGGCATGCGTGAATCGAGTTTGTTCGAGTTCCTCCCCTCAAGAACCAACTTGATGTAACCCCCCATTGTTTTTGTGTGTATTTTGTGGTTGCTGGCCATCCAATTGGCTCTCCACGGATTTTGTGCTCTATTTACCTGCCTTATAAAAACACAATTTATTGCTGGACTAACGTTTTCCCTTTGTGCTTGGCTGCTGCCTCAGCTTCAGCTTCTGTTTTCTGTTTTCCGCTTTTGTGTCTGTTTCCATTTCTTTTCTTCTGCGTTTATTGTATTCCGCTGTTGCTGTTTTAGTTTTCACTCTGTTTTGTTTCGTTTCCAACTTAACTTTTCCGTTCTGTGGGTCTGATTCAGTTCGCCCGGGGACTTCCCCTTTATTGGCTCTCTGTATAAAGTTTTTGCGTGACATCAGCCATGGATATTATTCCGCTGGCTGCCATTTTGTTTGGCCTTGCTTGCCTTTTGAATCAATAAACTAGCCATGGAATCGAGAGCAGCTTCTAAATAATAGAAAAGCAGCCGAGGTTTAGGTTTTCCCTTCTCCCGAATTTTTCCGACCACAAAGGCCACTTAGTCAGTGGAAAAATCGCTCAGAAACGGGAAACACTTTATGTGCAGAAAATAATTTGGTTACCAGTTATCCGGCTCACTTTCACTGTAGCCCCATAGTTTTTGGGCATATCTCTGGACAAAAGTTTCCGCCTCTCCAGAGCAATTTGATCATTTGTTTTGGTCGGAACTCTGGTATTCGAGCAAAAAATTCAGCCTCGCCTCACTTTGTGGTCACGTAGTATCCAGTGGGAGAAAGTTTTGAGTTTACGATTTACGATGCATAAACTTTATCCCAGAGCTTTCACTCAACTCAAATAAAAGTCGGTAATCTGTGATAAATGACCCCGGCGACGAATATGGATTCCGTGAAGCCAACTATCAGATATCATAATCAAAATCAGACATCGACGATGAGTGGCCGATGCCCAATGAGCTCTTAATTGTGTAATTAAATCACTGCCGCTTGAAGTATTCATTTTTGTCCATTAGGCTAATTGGGTGGATCAACTTTTTCGCAAAAGAAGCATTAAGAATTGATAGTCGTGGAGTCGGTTTTGTGTGGATTGGAGCGACGGCCTATTATTCTCGATACCAATGCGTTCTAATTAGTTTCTGAGGTCGCATTTTCCAGGCAAATGGACGCACGTTTTTGTGTCGCTGCTTACCTGAATAATGAGTTTTCCATCCACACATGGACGTATATGCATTTGGGCTCTTTAAAATGGAAGGGGGGAAGGGGAAGTGGAGGTATATGGGGGAATCCCCAACTGGCACCCACACAAAAGCGACGGGCTTCAACATTCTACATTGCTGGCCATTCGGAGGCGTCGTACCGGAAAGAAATGCCATTAAAAACGCAATAAAAATGCAAAAAACACAAAAATAAAAGGGGTAGGTGGTGGATGTGGGGAAATCCCGAATGAAAGAAATGCGAAAATATAACGTACAGAGTGCGCAAATACAAACGTACAAAAAGAAGTATGTGGGTAGTATGTCAACTTCTCTGCACCGTCTGTGAGTAGTGGGTGTGCGGCTGTGTGTGTGTAAATAGCCAAGGTGGAAAAATCGATATAAATGAATACGGCAACATTTGGTCGCCCCCAAAAAAACGAAAAACGAAACCTCGACTGACTCAACTTGAGACACTGCGGAATGGCGATGGGTTTTTTAGCCCTTACGTCAAACTTATAAAAAAAACGAAAAGTTTTTTTGCACGCACAACCATCACGAGTGCTTACCCACTCATACCCCACCCATCCACACACACACACACACATTTATGCAGCAAAGGAAAACCCCAAGGGGGGAAAGAGGTGGTGGAAGCCCCCGAGGTCGTAGGCAGTCAGCGCGAGTTTAAGCGCAGGCATATGAGAATTGCCATAAAAATATATAGTACGCGTGCAGCGGGGCTTCAACAACGATTGCAAGCTTACCCTAACTGATTTTTAAGATGTGTTAAGGGAGGGTCCTATAAGCTATATTTCGAAGGGGTATAGTTACGTGCTTAAGATTTTTCTTGCATCAAGCTGATATAAATTAAACAAATAGTTACTCTAATGTAGAAATGATTTCGATAGCAAATTTCTAAAGTTTCTATGATGTTTCCATTATCGATTTGGCTACAATTTTAAATACCATTTTGAAATGTCATCTTAGTTCCTTGTTCTTTCATTACAAACATTAACTTGTGACCATTTTCTTCTAATTTCAACAATAGAACAATAGGGTATGTATTCTTCAAATTTAAAAAAAGATGGTCACAAGTAGCTGTTTCGTAATAAAAGCATAAAGAGCTAAGATTATGCCTTCATCTATTTTTATCCACTTAGGATGGTACACGAATGAAACACCAAAATATCGCAGCATCAGCACAAACAGTTAATAGAAGCAACTTCCAGTTGGTTTAGCTTAATTAATCAAATCAAACATCCGTTCGTCTGGGGGACTTCCTGAATCTGTTTGCCTTGTTGTTCCCGGTGGGGCACCAAAGAGTATAAATAAATAAGGCAGGAAAACAAAGAGTGGGAAAGAAAGAAGAGCAATCGCAGCGGCGACAGCAACAGCGAAGCCAAAACCGAAACAGCGGAGATGCTGCGGCTGCAATGTTTACCCCAGTAAGTATGCTACACATTTCTCGAGCACGGGTTAAGTGCTATGCCCGAGCGATAGAGATAGCACTACGTCCGATAGAGAGAGAGAGAAAAAGAAAGGAAAAAGAGAAGGCAGATGTGTGTGCCACCAAGGCTTAACAGCATTTGCACGCGTCTCCCTGCCAACTTTGAGACATTTGACATTTCAATTTCAAATTGGCCAGCAGAAAAAAGTCCCGAAAACGGACATCGAATATTTGAAATTTTCCGATTTCGATTTTTCCATCGCCTACCTACTGTTGCTATCTGCGAGTATATCTATGCCCATGTCCGCTTGTTTGCCTTCCAATGCTGGGTACACACATTGCCGAATTGTGTTCGTATTGATTTCTAATTACTCGGCCACACAGTATTTGGCTTAAGGTAGGACAGGTGGGCAGGTTGCGGGCTAGGGTTTGGGCAGTAGGAGTGGCCGCACTCGATGGTGGCTTTGTCTATTTGTTGTGGCGGCGTTGCCATGGTGGCTCCTATTGATTTTACCAACGCCATGAATCATGCCAAAGCTCAAGCCTATGCCCCTGTCTACAGAGAGAGAAAATAATGTGCTAAATTCTAAACTTTCCAGGGGAAAATTCGTGTTGTAGTCTTTGCACCGCTTAAAAAATTTATTCATTATAATACAAATTTTATAAAACTAGGATCTATTTCACAATCTATTTCACAGAAATTTACTGGTTTTAAAAAAATAATATATCCTACGAGGGTTAACCAATGCGTACGTCCTACTTTATTTTTCAAGTGCCTCATGCCTCATGCTTACCACAGTGTTCTCCCCACTCCCTTTCCACCTGCGATGTTTCATTTGGCCACTGCGTGTTTAGCAATTTGTGGTTATATTATAATGACCACTTGATTTGCGTTTGCGTTGGCTTGAGCTCTTGCCTTTGCTTTTACCGCCTACTAATTGCGCGCTTGTGTTGCGTTTGTGTGTGTGTACTTTCAGGTGCTAGTAGCAGGAACAGGAGCAACAGTCGCGGAGGCAACGTTGAGACGCATGCACGCTCCATGCTCGCCGCTGGCTGATGGCCAAAGGACTTGGAATAGGAACCGCAATCGGAACTGGGACTCCAGCGAAAGAAGCAGCAGCAGCAGCAGCAGCAGTAGCAGCAGTCCAACTCAACTGAATTGAAGAGGAACCGAATCGCCGCATCAAGCATACGCCCCATTGCGCACACCTGTCGACAGAGTGCAGCATGTCAACTTCAAAGCATCATCATTACCATGGAGTCCTCCTCTCCATGTGGCTCCTCCTCCTGCTATCGTCATCCTCGACATCATCATCATTGGTCAGCGCCGCAGTGAGTGCGATTGCGGAGCCGGAGGAGGCGGCATTCCAAGGTGCGTTTGACATCAAAGCCCCCTATCGTGTCCCGCCCATCGCCCATCGCCAAGTGCCTAATTGTGGAAATTTGGGTATTTGGAATTCGGTATTTGGCACTGGCATTCAGTTTTGAAGGGCCACCCACCTTCGGCCCCATCGACATATCAATAAACGAGGCCCTATTGTGTGGCCTTTGACATTAATGAGCGACTTAATTATGCGTGAGAGTGGGCCAAAAACCAGAAAACCAAAGTGTGGGACCGAACGTTATGCAATAGCTCTTGTCAAATTTCCAGAACCCAGAACCCAGCAGCCAGGAGCATAGGGGCGAATCAGGCGAATGTCAGTGGCGACGATGCTGATGTGTGCTGCTGACACTTCGATTTCAATTGCATACAAAATGCGATTTTTCAATTTCAATTTGAATACGCAATGCACAGCCAGCGGGCAAAGGAGTTTCAAAGGGGTCGAGCACAGCTCATGTGTGCATATGCAAATGGGTTCGGGTTCGGAAGTTCGGGTGTTCTGTGTTCTGTGTCCAGTGCACTTTAATCGTCCCCACAGTTGCTTAATCAACTAGCAAGCCTGCATGCATGCACGAGCTTTGTCCAGCCCCCTTCTACGCCCCTGTGCGCTTCCTTTTGCCCCTCTTGCCCCTTTTGATGGCACTTTAACAGAGTAGCTGACGTGTTCGTGTCTCCATCTTCAGAAAGTGCCTCTGTGTTCGTTCCATTTAATACAATGTGTGACGTAAGTGCCGGGCCACTCGGGCGTATGCGTAATGCTTGTAATGTTTTACTTTTTACGAGTTCTTCTCTCCAGCATTTCCTCCATTTGCAGTGGCACACAATTTCGGTGTCAAGTGAGTGCCGAGAAAGCAAACTGAATGGCTGTGATTTTGATTCACCTCCTCTGCCTATGGAATTTGCATTTAAATTGCCAACGAAATCGAACAGAGAACGAAAGAAAAACTTTTCCATTGCTGCTAACCAAACTACCTAGAAGTATCGGCCATCTGAGTTGTTTAAGTAGTCATTATGAATATGTGCACGGGGGAATGGGCTGCCATGGCCAACAGTAAATTACGAAAAGCGTATGCTATAGTCAGGACCAGACCAAAACCAGGCCCAAAGTCCTTAAAGCTTATTAGAATTTATTGCGGACACGTCGGTCACACCCAGGAACACACACACTCGGCTGCAGGAACAAAACGGAGACATAGACGTAGTTGTAGACACGGACACGCAGGCAGACAGGACACACTCAACTAAACGCAACTGAAGTGAACTGAAATTATGAACCGAATCGACTCTCCGAGGCGACTCGACCAAAAACCGGGCCAAACCCAAAGTTGCCACCAGCAAACGGACTGAAAACCCATCCATATATGCCACAATGCCAACTGAACAATCCCCTTTAACCCTCCACAGGCCACTGTGGACACACCAGCCCCTGCGAACAGCTATGCTACGAGATCCACGATGGAATGTACGAGTGCGACTGCATCGAGGGCTATGAGCTGAACAAGAACGGTTACAGCTGTCAAGGTGCGTTCTGGGATGCCTGTTTCCTGGGTTGGAAATATGAATGGGACGGGTTTTGACCCCACCTGACCACAAAATTGATTTGCCATTTTGTGTTATTATTTGGAAATCACCCTGTAATGAATGGTACTGGCCATCCAAGTGGGCTGGATTAGCCCACAAATAACTTTTGCATGCCCCCCTTCTGTTATTATTCATTTTTGTTCAACTTGTATGGGGAATTATTATTTTGTGATTGTTCGCCCTTTACAATCCTGCTGCCCCCCGGCAGGCCGACAAATTGATATTTTTGTGTTGTTATTTGGTATTACTGTATTTTCCATTTAATTTGTGCATTTTCGAAAATGTGTCCAAAAAATTACATGGCATACAAGCAGTTAGCTTTTAACAAGGAATACTCTTTCATAAAAGCAGACAAGTATGGTTTAAAGGATCTGTTCAAGCTTTAAAGTGAATCGGTCACGAACTTCAGAAATATCGGATTATTGCATTTCAATTATTAATTGCACTCTTAAAGTAAACCAGTTAAAGCCAACTTTGAAAATTAAAGTATTTTCTGAATTAAATATGTTGTAATAGTAATAGTTTTTCACATTTATTGGTCATTTTCAAAAAAGGGTAATACTAGCAAATAACAAATGCTTCAAGTATTACAAGAGTTACTAGAGGGAAAATTCAGTTTTAAAAGAATTCATTTTCAGGACAACATAAGTTATTTATAGGGAATACAAACTATGGAAACTTGACTGCATGTATTTCGAATTAATTAAAGTATTTCCTACTCAGAGCATTCATATATTTATTATCTCCAATTTACCCTGTTTATTTACTGAATTTAATTAAAATGGGTGACTTGATGCGTTCATTCTGATGTGCACTCCGTAACTTGATCCATTTCGATTTTCCAGTAATTAACGCCACTGCCAACGGTTTGGATGGGCGTGGCAAGTCGGACGAGGATGTGCTCTACCAGAAGGGCGCCTCGTTCAGCGCCAAGTTGGCCAACGACGACGGTGTTGGCAAGTCGATGGCCCAGTCGCCGTTCGCCGGGCCCACATCGCAATCCGCCTCGCCGGCGGGCAACGGCAATGGAGAAGATGAGTCCGGGTCGGAGAGCGACAGCTACGATTACGGCGAGCTGGAGGACAACAATTCGGAGACACAGGAGCAACAGCAGCAATCGCTGAATCTTCAGCAACAGCAACAGCAGCGGCAGCAGCAGCAGCAACAGAAAGTCAATTCAAACGATTACTACATATCAGCGGAGAGCATCAACTTCAATTCGGAGTCGGAGGGCCAGGAGGTGGATGTGGCCGACTTCAAGGCGGCCAGCACCACTCCCTCCGTTTCAGCCCCGCCCCCGACTCCCAGCAGAAGCACCACAAGCACCACAAGGGCCACAACCACCACCACGACCACCAGGAGATCCCCCACGGCCACCGAAGCCTCGAGGGGAGCCCAGAACCAAGTGGATGTGGATTATGGCAGCGACGACTATAGCTACAGCTACAAGTCGGACATGTCCGTCTACGACGATGTCAACAATAATCAATTAAACTTAAGACGCAACAGCAACAGCAAATCGCAAACATATCAGCAGACAAGCAATACGAACACGGCCAAGAGCAGGAGGAAGAACCCCAGCATAACCAGCAATAAGGTCCAAATGCATATCACCAGAGAGTCCACCAATCTGGGCAACATATCAGGAGTGGGAGCAGCCATGGCAACAGACAGGTGGGTCACACAAGCACGGCGTGGGGTAAATTCCTTAACAAATTTAGGGACAACACAGTCCTTTGGCTCTTACGAAATCCCATTCTTTGTTGGTCATGTGCATTATAAGTATGCATTTTGTGGTTGTCAAAGCAGTTGTTCAAAACTAAATTAATGTATTGTTATGTACTCCAGCTCGCCCACTTGCAATCTCGACTGTGGCTCCGATGGAATCTGTGCCTTGGAGGCCACTGCCGCCAGCTCTCGCTGTCTTTGTCCATTTGGTAAATCGGGTGCAGGTTGCCAGGAAGGTAAGTGGATCTTTTATATACAGAATCGTATAAGCATTGCCATGATGATTATTTGACCCACAGATATCCGAGCCCATGTACCGCGTTTTGCCAAGCGATCTTGGCTAGCATTTCCAGCCCTGCATGGCGCCTACAAACACGTTCAGCTGCGCATCGAATTCCGTCCAGAGTCTTTTGACGGCATTATCCTATTAAGCGGAGAACGCGACGATCTTACGGGCGACTTTATGGCTCTTTTATTGAACAAGGGTTTCGTGGAGTTCTGGTTCGACTGCGGCTCCGGCGTGGGCAGCGTTCGATCCAGGGAGACCATCCTGCTAAACGAATGGAACTCGGTAATCATCTACCGTCATCGATGGGATGCCTGGCTAGTGCTTAACCACGGAACCAAGGTCCAGGGCAGATCGAATGTGAGTTATATTGTTTTTATTTCCAAAACCATTTCTTTATAAATTAAATCCCCTCCAGGGCTTGTTCTCACGCATCACCTTTCGGGAACCCGTATTTTTGGGTGGAATAGGCAACATTACTGGATTGGCCAAACGACTGCCTCTAGCCGAGGGTTTTGCCGGCTGCATTCGTCGTTTTGTGGCCAACGAACATGACTACAAGTTTACAGAGCACCCGTTGGGCGATGTCATAAATGGCTTTGATATACGTAAGTTATGACGTTACAGCTTCGATTTAAGGATTGGATCTCTTTTTGAGATCACGTCGGGGTCACCAAATGATGTTTTGGTGAAGCGCAAAGGCTTCCATAAAGATTTCTAACTCCTTCTTACAACCCACAGAGGACTGTTCCACCGACAAGTGCGTGAGATATCCTTGCCAGCATGGTGGCAAGTGCCTACCCTCGGATCAGGGTGCCATCTGCCTGTGTCCCATTGGTTTTGTTGGAGATCTGTGCGAGATTCGAATGGACCTACAGGTGGGTGTTCCTAGAGGATTTCTTCTCCCTTTGTGGTTTTAATAAAGCTTAATTTTAATAGGTTCCCGCCTTCAATGGCTCTTCGTTCTTGCGCTATGCTCCCCTGGGCGATAGTGCCCTTATTTGGTTGGAGCTTAAGGTGACTTTGAAACCCGAACAGGCAGATGGTTTAGTCCTCTACTCAGGTCCGGAACACCGGGGAGATTTTATAGCCCTTTACCTGAACGATGGCTTTGTGGAGTTTGCCTTCGATCTCGGCAGTGGCCCAGCTCTAGTACGGTGAGTAGACAATTGTGTAATATTTTAAGGACCTTTCTAATTGCATGTCTTTCTTTCTTTTACCAGGAGTGAACATTCCGTGAGTCTGGGTCAATGGCACACCATCAAGATCTCTCGAACAGCTCGACTGGCGGTGCTCAAGGTGGGAAAGTCTCGAGAGTCCTTTAACTTCCCTTACTTACCTATTGCATTTCCAATCCCAAAGGTGGATCAGCACCAGGAGGTCATGACCATCTCGTCCAATGGCTTCTGGCACTTGTCGCTGGACCAGAATCTCTTTGTGGGCGGCGTTAACCACATGGATCGCCTGCCTCTGGACCTCAAGTACAAACCCTTCTTTGTGGGCTGCATCCAGAGGGTGAGTTGTAGTAGACGGCAACCCCCTCTTTCTTCAATACCATTGTTTACTTTTGTTCTCCTCTCACTCCAGATTGACATCAATGGGCACTCGCTGGGCATTGTGGCGGAAGCTTTGGGGGGCAGCAACATCGGCAACTGCCCCCACGCCTGTGTGGCACGACCCTGCGGCCCTCTGGCGGAGTGTGTGCCGCAGATGGAGAGCTACGAGTGCCGCTGCAGCATACACAACGAGCGATGCAACAAGGCCGCCGAGGTCCCGCTGGAGCAGCTTCCCGAGCTGAACATCCACAAGTCGAAGGTCCTCGAGACGAAGGACAATGGCGAGGAGGCAGTGAAGAAGGTGTCTGCCTGGGCGCACAAGAAGCATGCGAAGAAGCACAGGAATTTGCATAAGCCAACCCCTGCTACGAGCACAAGTACTTCGACCACCACAACCACCGAAGCCCCTGAGCGATTGGAGGCAGCCACTGCGGGGGCTCTAAGCAACGAGGAAATCGAAGATGATATCATATTCCGCTTTGTGCAGCAGCAACAGCAGCAGCAGGAGGAGATCAAGAAGCAGCAGATGTCTTCTACTGCCCCACCTGCCACCACCACTAGCAAACCCAAGCCCAAGCCCAGGTTGGCCGGGAAACACCATGCCAGCAAACATGAGCACCACCAGAAACCAAACGCAGCCTTCACGCGCAAGCTTAGTCGCCTGCCCACCCACTACGAGAGTTTCCAGACGAACCCCGACAGCGACATCCTCACCTTCGAGGACAACAACGACTGGGTGGCCAGTCTGCAGCAGCAGGAGTACGGCGATGCCATGGCGGCCAGTCAGGCGCCATTTGCAGGGGAGGAATTAAACGGAAACCCTCCTCCAATCACCAAGTCGAATGACAAGAACGAAGGTGATGATGAGGACGACGCCTTTGTGTTTGACGAGTCGCTGTTTGACGCCTCCGACGGCACGGAGGAGTACCAGCGCAAGCAGCTGGCCCAGGACATGAAGCGCATTCTGTCCAACTCGAATACGCACTCCAGTCACAAGAAGGCGGAGGTCCAGTTCCCATCAGATGGGAAGCTCAGTCCAGATGGAGTCTCCCCCAACGAAGATACCTCTCAGTACAGCGACGACTACAACGAAGATGAGCTCCTCACGCCCGTAATGCAGGCCGGGGAGGAGGAGGTGAAGCCGGATCAGCACGCATCCAGTACTCCACAGACCCACACCGACTGGAGTCTTCTGAAGAAGTTCGACCTGTCCGCTGAGCACCAGTCGCAAGTTCAAGGGGTGCGCAAGAATTTCGGAGCTTGCTTCGCCGGCAGCGATAGCTATTTCCACTACAACGACGCGGACACCATGAGCCAGGTGATCAGCTACAGCATCGACCTCAATCTGCGCATCAAGACGCACTCGGAGAATGGCGTGATCCTGTGGACAGGACGCCAGGCAACGACGGATGAGCATGCCGACTACCTTTCGCTTGGCATCGAACAGGGGTGAGTGGAAGATGGGGTTTCCATTTAACACGAAAGTAACCTATGTCTAATTTTTTTCTCCCAGATACTTACACTTCCGCTATGACTTAGGATCTGGTGAGGTGGACATCCGCTTCAATGGCACCAAGGTCAGCGATGGCTTGTGGCATCGTGTGAGAGCAATAAGGTAGGCTTATTTTACTTCCTCCTTACAATACTTACAGTCTAAAAAAACAAGGTTGTAAAGTACTTCCAACAGGTTTTAGGGGGTTATAACAATGATTGAAGGGGGGCTAAGATATAAAGTCCTAAAATGTAGTATACCAAAATTTAGTTCTGGAAACCAATGGATAAATTATTTACATCATTATTTGCAGGAACTCCCAAGAGGGATATCTTGAGGTGGATGGCAGAAAGACAGCCACTCTGAGGGCGCCGGGCAAACTTCGCCAGCTCAACACGGACACGGGTCTGTATGTGGGTAGGTGTCTCAAAGATAAAGGATCTCTATACAGAATACTATAGTTTAGTCCGTTTTGCAGGTGGCATGCCCGACGTGGGGTACTTCACGCACCAACGCTACTCCAGCGGCATCGTCGGCTGCATCTCGGAGATCGTGCTGGCCGGCGAAATGAAACTGAACTTCGACCCCAATACGCTGGGAACGGAGCACAACGTGGAGACGGGCCTCCTATGAAACGCTGCACGCACGCCTCAAGACTTTTGATATCGACTAGTTTAAATGTTATGTTAACCACACAAATGTCCTTTCGTCGGTTTGTGTTTGTACAAATACGCTTTTAAAACCAAAAAACAGAGAGAGAGAGAAACGCAAAGTTAGGGTGAGGAACATTTTTTTACACCAGGAGACGCAGCAGAGTCGAACTAAATCTAGAAGGGAAACATACTACATATTATATACAAGCATATTGAGTATATACAAAGGCATACATAGATATATATATATATATATTTAAAGCAGAGGAAACCAAATCGAAAAACCAAGGCACGCTTCGTATAGAGCCTGTGACTGTCAATACTTCAGATCGGAATAGTTTATATATAACTTTAGCAAAGGATTTATATCGATGAAGTGTAAGTCATATAGAATATGAAACAAGAGCGGAAAATCTGAGTAACCAAGCTGTCCATTTGGCGCGATTTGCGATTGGCGATAAACGAAATTGACGATTTACGATTAACGATCTACAAATCTCGATAGCGATACTTTAGTGTGTGGTCGCTTTTTTTGAACGAACCGTTACGCTTTAATATGCAGAGCTGCCATCTTTTTGTACCACACACACACAAAATTATACACACCACACTAACACGGTTACAAATGCAAATTGGCAATTCTTTCGTTTTTCGCATTGCTGTACCTTAAACTATGAACTGTAAACTGTATAACTGTACATTCTGTACTATTTGGCGCTTCTTGGAAGATCCAGTCCAAAATCGAACGAATCAAAGACCCGGAAGATGGTTAGATGGTAGATGATTTGAGATCAGATAAGGTATGAGATGAGGAAACAAACATATTAAGTGGTAAGTTAATAAATGTGTAGCCTGTACTAGCTCGTAAGTCGGCACACTCACACACACACACACACACACGTTCACACGACAACAAACACACGCCTGCCTATATTAACTTTTATATCAAAATCGTAAGATACTAAAGACACCAAAGAAACTTAAGACATACGTAAGGACACCAAAATATTACACTTAAACACTCGAACACACGCTGAACCAGAATTGAAACTTGTGAGCGATTTTTAACAATTTATACTACGATACAACAATACACACAACAGAAACAACAACAACAAACAACTAGCTAATGGAAAAAACAAAAAAAAAAAAACAAAAGCAAAGCAATTTAACAATCCCATAGCGAAATTTTTAAATGCGAGACAAACAACTAATCCGAATAGCCTGTTGAAAGAATTGTAAAAGAGCGAACAAAGTAAGGTAAAATGGTAAATAGAATTAACTAAGGAGGGAAACACGTTTGTATTCGTCTTATGAGTATAATTTTGTAGCTTAATGAGATAACAACCACGTATGTAGTTATATATACATCATAAACACATATGCGTAACTATATATGACTATGAGAAAAACTATAGAAAAAATGGCGTAAAATGAATAAAGAAATCACAACCACCAATCAATGTAAAACTAAATTAAACGACATTCAATGTAGCTTATTTATATGACAAATGGAAGTCGAGGCATTGAGATATTTAATTTCGTACATTGGTTTGCAGAAAATAAAGATAAAATAATTCTAATGTTGGTTTTTCTGTTTTGTTTTGCTTGCGCTCTTGGCTGTCTATTTTCAAATTTGAACTACGATCATATTTGCGGTTAACCGTTAGAACTGGTTCCACTTAAGCGGTTAACAGATTGAACTGGTTTGACAATGCATGGTAATCATTGGATCTGGTTCCGATGGTACTGGCTTAAATCAATTTAAAAAAATTTATTTTTGGTTTTGTGTTGTTTTTAAAGACAAGTTTTAAATGTTTTTTCCATATAATTCTTAAGTTCGGGGAGGGAGTTGCAGATAAAAGAACGTTTTTGCTGACTTTAACTAGACAGTTATTACTGTGAAACCGTCTGAACTGTTACTTCTTCCCCATGTCGTGACTTCAATATTTTTGCGATATATCGATAGTGCTATCGCCTGTGTGCCACCACTACTGCGGACCACAACAACAACTGTGAGCAGAAAAGCTGTGACCACAACAACAACACCGCCAAGTGAATTTGGCCAACTCTCAGCAGTCTCAGAGATCTCTAAGATTGGATCGGATTTTCGGACTGCGACTGCGGAAGAGCGGTTGACCAGACGCGGAAGTAACAACCTTCAACTCCAGCCATGGCCGCTGTGCTGCCGGAGAATGCGGCCGAGATCGCGGTGGCCAACGCAATCAATAACATCAACGGGGGTAATGGAAACGGGCGCAATCGGGTGCTCCCGGGCGGATTAGGTGGCGGTGGCGGTGGCGGTGGCCAGGTAATTACCCATGCTCAGTACCCATTATCCACATAACACCCTTATCTCTTTGCCCTGACTTGCAGAACAACATGATGAACATGCGGGATCGACTGTTCCATGCCATATACTTTCGGGCGGCAGCCGCCTATGCGGAGTTGGTTCCACGGTAAGAGTCATTGGCCCCTTATCTATCCGCTCTTATCTCCGTACTCTGTGTGTACCCTCTCCACTTGCAGAAAGGTGCAGCTGACCATCGAGTTCCTGCTGCTGGCCAAGGCCCTGCTGTTCTTCTTCACGCTCATCTATGTGCACAACGCCTTCATCAAGAATCCCTGCACCTGTCTAAAGCAGGTTCAGAACTGGCCACGCGAAGGAGTCATCAGGTTAGGGATTATCCTTCGAACTTCCCCCTAAATGCTAATGGAGTGTAATCATTTGCAGAGTGGAGATCATTCCCCACCTGGAGGAGAAGCGGGCCATTTGGCAGGGCATCAAGCGGGACCAGCAAATCGTGCGCTCTCTAAAGGATTCCTAGTAAGCATCTGGATAACGCTACTATCGAAGGATTTAGATTTATACAAAATCCTTTGCAGCTACTATGGCATTGGCCCGCAAACTGTGGAAAATCACGACAGACTCAAGCGGTATGAGTCCATCCTGGGCAGGCTGGGTCTGCCCGTTAGACCCACCTTTGCCTACAGCAACGAGTCCCTGTACTATTACTTTGATGCCGTCAACATCCTGGACACCTACGACCATCCCAATGCCATACAACTCAAGAACGAGGAAGATGATGGTGGGCTATCACCCTTTTAATCAGTGTAGACTAGTATTTAAATGATTACATTATAGAGGAGCAATACATTGTGGAGTATTCGCTGGAGTACGGCCACCTGCGATTGTCTTCAGCCACTCGAAAGCGTTTACATATACCCGTGCTCACTGTCCAACTGGATCCCAATACCGACAAGTGTTTTGGGGATGGACTCACACGATACCTGCTCAAACGTCTGCTGGGGTAATACAACCCATTTAGTATATGTTACAGCTGTTAATTCCTTTTATTTTGCAGCTATGATGACTTGCTGATGGCCTCGGTTAGAACGATTGCCGAGCAGGAGGAGAACAAGGGCTTCCTGCGCAATGTGATCACCGGGGAGCATTACCGCTTTGTGTCCATGTGGTGGACTGCCTGGAGCAGCTATCCGGCTGCCTTCTTTGTGATGCTGCTGTTTGTGAGTATACTGGGTGCTCAGAGATCTATGAGTTACTGCAACACCTTTTTATCTTTTTAGACGTTTTCGGTGTCCATGCTGCTCCGCTACTCGCATCACCAGATCTTTGTCTTCATAGGTAGAACCTTCAGATAACCCTTCAAATATGTGAAAGATGTTTAAGAGCAATCTTACCTTTCCAGTTGACTTGCTCCAGATGCTTGAGTACAATGTCTCCGCCCGGTTTCCCATCGCTCCATTGCTTACCGTCATTTTGGCGCTCGTAGGTGTGACACAACCCCGTCGACTGAGTAATTTGCATGGCCATTAACCCTTGTATCCCTCGTCCTCACACAGGAATGGAAGCCATCATGTCGGAGTTCTTCAATGACACCACCACGGCCTTCTACATCATACTGATTGTCTGGATTGCGGACCAATACGATGCCATCTGCTGTCACACGAGCATCACCAAGCGTCATTGGCTCAGGTGCGTATGCCACTCTCTCTTAAAACATATCCCAAACCCAGTTTATTTTGGTTGTTTTTTTTTTGCTGTGCAATTGTCCGTGTCCCGAGCAAATGACAAATTCAATTACATTAAGTCTGCAATCCTTTCCAGCATCTATGCTGCCGCTGTCCGGCCATAGATAATAGCATCTTGGCCCTCCCATTTCCCGTTTCCCACCTCCGTGGCCAGCACTTAACAGTTCATTTCGTTCGGTTCGCTCGCATATTTTCCTTCTCTTTGGTCTGCGGGTCCGGGTTCGGGTGCGGATATTTTGCACTCCTAGTCGCCCAGTCCAACCGCTGGCGTTCCGGTTGTTATTTGAAAATTAACTTGGCTTGCGCAAGCCTCCCCCGGGGCCAGAACAAATCGACCAGTGGCCACCCCTTTGGTCGTCGAAAGGGGGTGCTCCTTCCTTCCTTTCAAACACCCAAACACCCACTCATCCACTCACACACAGACACCGGCAAACAGAGAATTTCATCACTTAAGTCAACAAGCGTAACCCAAGCGGCAGTTCTCCATACTAAAGCCATCATCAGCGTATAGCTCCCAACCAACAACTGGGCCGCACCATTAGCAAACATTTAAATAAACTCCTCCTCGCTGGCTCACAACAAAAAACAAAAAAAAAGGGGAAATGCGAAGAAAAAGGCGGCGGAAATTTAGAGCCGCTCATTCCCGTTCGATCGACATTAATGACCACGCACGTCAGGAGCAGCGGACAACCCCATCCTCCCCAGAAATGGAGCTACTTTGCGGTTTATTACGCGCACTTTGCATAATTGAGAGCGGCCGCCGCAAGAAATTATTTTCTTCTTTTTTTTTCGTTATTTCTTTTTTTTTTGGCAACTTTTCCGGACATCAATTTGCACGATGCGCTGAACGGCGGACCATCAATAATTCAAAAAGACACTCGAAAATTCCCTTTTTAGCGAGGGCCAAGGTCCGCACGCCTTGATTATGAATTCATGTGCATGCATCCATCCCCAATCACTTTCCGCGCCGCCTTGCGGTGTTGATTTTGCGTAATTTGCGCCGAATTAAAAGGCTATCAGTGCTCCGAAAATGGGACAAGTGGGCAAGTCTCGCCTCGTCGAGGACCACTTGTCGTATTTATATTCATTAAAGATTCATGGCCGCGAATGATTTTAAATGTGGCCGGCTTGTTTGCGCAGAGCTTGTTAGGGAATCCTTACAAAATGGCAGCTGTTAAGGCAACAGGAATGCTGCCTGATTTCGCTCAGTGTGCGGCCACAAATTAGAAATTTGCGAGAGGTACGCATAAGGCATCTTTGACTCTCAAATATGCCCAGTGCTGATATAAAGGTTGTCCAGATTCCTTTGATAGTTTCCCTAGCTCTCGAGCTAGTAATCTGTGAGGTTGTGAGGTTGTGAGGTTGCGAGGCTGTGATGATGTGCACCTGGCCAAAAGAAATATCTTTTGTGTCTGCTGCCCCTTGGAGTTTCGCATAACTCATCATTTGCCCGCCCAGATTGTCAAACTTTTCTGCAAAACTTTTGAATGAAAAAATATCCAATTGCAATGTTCCTGTGCGAATCCTTTTCTGTGCAATTGAATGGCAAACAGTACAGTAGCCAGAGAGTATATTGATTGGGCATGGGCATGAGCATGGGCATGGGCATGGGTATGCGTCTAAGTCCAAGTCCAAGTCCAAGTGCTTCCGTCTTTGGGCAGCTGCTTGGTCCTGGCTTTAAGTGAAATTAATTCAGCGCAGGAGCCCCACGCATCCATATCCATATGCCATATGGCCAGGACGCTCCACCGGAACCATAAATGCATGTTTGTGAGTGTTTTGTGTGTCTGGAGGGTGTTTTTGGATGGTGTGCGGAGTGTGGAGTGTGTGTGTGTGCTTTCCTACGGTTTAATTTTGCTGTTATTGACTGCCCCAAGCGGTGAAAGGGGTTTCCGGAGCTCTATTTTTATACCCTAGCAGAGGGTTGTTTAATTCTAAACAAGAGGATTTGTCCTGTGAAATAATATGTTTATTTATTATCGCATTTCATTATATTTAAATTATAATCAGCTTCATTAGCTCAACAAATTTAATTCAGTTTGCTTAAAGTTAAACTCAATTGTTTCTAAAAGTAAAAAAACTTAGTCCGTTTTTTGTTTCCAAGATAAACTCAAACTGAAATTTTAAAATGGGAAAACAAATGGAATTTTATAGCTAGAAGCCCATAAAATATTTTGGCATTTAATAAATACAATGTATAACCTAAGAATTTACCTTTAAAAAAGGTTTTTTGTTAATAATCGAATCGTCCAATCAAAATAAATATATATTTATCTTATTTATTGCACTAATAAAACGTTAAATTAATTAGTTTAAGTTAACTGCTGGTAAAACTCGATTGATTACTAATATAACTATAAAGGATTTTAATTTCTTCATGATAACCTAAAAGTAAGACTTTAATTGAGAAAACGAAAGCTAAAAGCCCTTTGGGAAATAATAAAAAACAGATTTATTTAACTTGAAGTAAAATTAATAATAATAAAATAAAATAAATAATATTTAATATTTTACACCATTATATCAGTTT